CAGGGTGGCTCGTCGTTGCGGCTTGACAATCCCATGGCTCTTGCTGGCCTGACCTCGTATCCAGCTATTCCCTAGGATTCTAGTGCCTTTCGAGGGTTCTGCTTCGGTTTTTGGGTTCATTTTCCTGATCATTCTCATTCATATCAAGCCCTAGAGGTCCAGTGATGTTCCATCGGCTTGGGTTGGGGTGTCTGGTACCTCCAGGATTTCCGTGAGCTGGCTTGCCGCGTGGCCGTTTGCCGGGGGTGACGCGTGAATAACACCACCACCATGGGGATCGGGAGGTTCCATGGTGGTTTTTAGGGGCTCAGAGGCCTCTCTGAGCCGAATGACGCGCTAAAAAGACGTGTTTTTTGTATCCCCTAATATAGGAATAGGAACTAAAATAAGTTTTCCTCGCTCCAGATTGCGAAGATGTATGTCTAGTATTATTATTGTTGTTCGATCGAGAGATTACTATGCACTGTCTCTCTATTTCCCTGAAGGTCAATTTCTAGGGAAAAAGAAGATAGTGACTTCTACTCAGTTGAAAGTTCCAGCTGCAACTGAAATCCAGAGGTGAGTAACCGTACGGAGTACATACGCACGTACCTAGGTAGGTGTATGTACATGTACAGTACAGACGCATCCAATCCATCCAATCGACATTGGAGAAACGCACCGGCGACTTCCAAGCACGGGATGATCTACCGACGCTGGTAGCCACAAAGAAAGCCAAGTTGTCCTCGCGCAGATTTGAAATCCTTGAAGTCTACCAAAGACCAAAGTTTTCGCCAATTCCCTAGGGGGCCAAGTGCCAAGTCTATTGTCATTCATGTCTCGTGGGATCTGTCTGAGGGGGCTGCCTAGCTACCTACCTACCTATCAAACGAAAATTCCAAGAGCTTCGCAAGCTACCGTAGCTAGGACTGTACGGGACAATGCTATACTCTTGTGGAGGTGCGATCAAAAGATGCAAGACATGATCGTCTAGACCAGACTTCTTCCAGACTGTTCTTGCCTGCAAAGGCCCCCGCTAATTACCTTGCAAATCCATCTGATGTAACAGGCGTAGTGCTCCGCATTTAGCTCTGATCTTAACTGATAGACTCTGCACTGTAAATGGTATAACGAGGTTGTTACCCTGTGTGTGTTAGTATTATTATTATTGGTAGCATCGTCAAAAGTTGAGCTTTCTGAATATCTGGATAGGTACCGTACATACCCTGAGCAACAATCACGATCAGTTACAAAAAAATCACTTTTGAATAATACTCCCGCTTTCCAATGGATTTCTTTTTCTAGTTGCTATAATAATGTCAGCTTCATGTTTTTGATTCAATTACTCCCTGCTTGTGCATAATATCATCACTTTCTTTTTTTTTCCCCATCCCGTACAACACTCCCGCTCCTTTTTCTCCGAACGAAAGCCGCGTCTCCGCAGTTGCAACGATGGAGTTGAGCGGCAGACAGCCGCTTATCGTCGCCGTCTCCATCGTCCTGATCGTCCTGTCGACCGTATCGGTCGTGCTGCGGTTCTTCTCGCGCCATATGATGGGCAACAAGCTGTGGTGGGATGATTGGTGCGCGGTTGTGGCTATGGTATGCAAAGTCTCTACCTAGGTTTGCATCGCATTAATTGAACACTCAGGTATCCAGCTTCTGTCGTATTCCTTGAATATTGTCCAGTTTGTCAGTCAGTATCCCCATCTGAATCCTTTTATATAAGCTTCCAACTGAGCCGAGTCACAGGCGTGAAATGCGGTCTGGGAAAGCATACCAAGGATGTCCCAAAGGATGGACCGTCTTGTTTCCTCAGGGTAGGTGAATCAATTCGTACAGTACATTTGGAAATTAGTGGAGGAAGACATTGAACTGACTGCTTTTTATTATAGGCCCTCTACGCAATCGAACCGTTCTATGGAGTCTGCATGCCCGCCATCAAGATGACAATGGTCCTCCTCTACTGGAGGCTGTTTAGCTCGAATCGCAAAATCTGCTATGCTCTGTGGGTTGTCGCCGGGTTGCTCATCGCGTGGACCATCGCCACCGTCTTCACCGGCCTCTTCCAGTGTAATCCTATCGATAAATACTGGGATGTGGAAAAGCCCGGCGACTGCCTCGACGGCTACGTCTATTTCGTGACTATCGCCTCTACCAATCTCCTCACCGACATCTTCATTTTAATCATCCCCCTGCCCGTTTTGTGGACTCTCAAGAGGCCATTAAGTGAGCGGCTGGCCTTGATGGGGGTGTTCACGTTGGGTATTTTGTACGTCAGAATTGCCTCAAGCGCCATATTTTTGGGTTATCTTTGACTGACGCCCAAATCAGCGTGTCTGCAGTGAGCATAATCCGGATCGCTAGTCTCACTTCCCCCCGCAATCCAGATCCGATGTGTAAGTTTTCACCGTCATCGCCCCTTGCTTTAAGCACATACTGACGACTTTCTTCTTCCCACACAGGGGCAAGCGTCAGAGGCACGATCTGGACGTCCGTAGAAACAAGCATCGGCGTGGTCAGCGTGAACCTACCTGTGATGAGCCCCCTATTCCGCCGGTATATCCTCGGCCGAACGCTTCGAACGACTCGGACCGGCTGGACATCCTATGCGTCCGGCAGCAATCGAGTGAAGAGCAGCGTCGTCATTCGTTCGTCGCAGCCAAGGCATTCTACAGAGAGCACGCGGCCATTCGAGGCTGACGAAGCAGCAAACCCGCCCGGGAATAATATCATGGTCACGACGGAAGTCAACGTCAGGAGAGACTCACAACCGGAAACGGAGCTGGATGACCTCGCAGCAGCCGACACCCAAGAGAATCATCGACATCAGCCTTGGCGAGAACACTGAGCCACGCATGCAACTGCCTGGAATGGTTCGTCAGGGTCATACAGCAGTAACTGATTGATATGAATGCGGATGATAATGCTGTTTGGATTGTTTTATAGTTTCTGTCGTCAAAGGAATATCGGAATCTGGGAACGAGTCATGTCAGAGGTGGCGGCAAAAGTGTTTTACATGCGAGTTTTTCTCATTATCTGCTGTTAGAGAAGGGTATATATATGCTATATAGAGACGCAATCTAGGGCTTAGGGTTCTAGCGACAGTTCATGTGATTGTTGACACGTGACCGCTATGACTTCATCAGCAGCGCAGTTTCCCGCTCAGGAAAGACCGGCCTGCTTGAACCTCGGGCAGATTGTCTTCTTCCTCAGCTCCTGCCCTGTTAGTAGCTCGGGAGCAGAGGAAATCGGACAATAAAGGGAAGGAGCGAAGGGCGTTGATGCAGGCACGTGGGGATCTGCAGCAGTCGTCGCTGCTGCCCAAGGTTCCTTCCTCGCCGGCCCATGTCACATGAGGGAAGGTCCGCGCAAGCGGCGTCGATTCGCCCGTCTTGGGAAGTTAAAACTATACCTGCTCCTCCACGCCAACACGCCTGCGAATTGTTTTTTGCCCACGCATCGTCTCTGACATGGCCCATAATAACAGCGCCCGGCGGCAGCCGCTGCGGATGTCCGTCGAACAGGCGCTGGAAGAAGAACGCCGCGAGATCTTGGAGCTGCTTGAAGGTCCTCAAGGTCGGAATGCCCCTCCGGAACGTCGCGCTAGCCCCGCCCCCGTTCGGAGCCTGCTGGATACCTCGCTGGAGCCGGCCCACAGGCGATACGGCTCCATTGCGGGCATTGGAGTGGGAGTCACGCCGTCGTCCGCTGCCAGCTCTGTGCCTGCGACTGATAATACGCCTGATCCCGGTTCTCAGGACAATGGGCCCGACTCAGAACTCTCCGACCGTCCATCCTCAGATGGCGCGACGACTCTGCCTCCTCCCGAGAGGAGAAGGGCCCTGAAGAGTCGCAGCGTGGACATCCACGCCGACTATCGGTTTAGCATGCGGCCAACCGTTCCCCACATAGTGCTCCCGAAGCACACCGTTCAGGCAGGTAAGACGCCAACCAGACTCCATCGCGGTCGGGAGCAGCCAGGCTAACGTCAGATCGTTTTCAAGATGCGCTCCGCAAGCCAAAACCGCCTGAAGTCGTAGTCCGCTCCCTCTCACCGCGACCTTCCCAGCTTAACAAATACGTGACTGGCACTGGAAAGGTGATTAATATGGATCGCGCCTACAAGAAGCTCTCAGACGCCGCCCTGGCCACGTCAAGTGGCAGTCTATCATCCCTGTCGAAGAACGACGCTGCACGCGAGAGTGGCGGAAGCGGGGAATCCCTTGCTGATGATGCAAACGTGCGCCTTCCAAAAGATAGCACCGAAAGTGCAGAGAATTCAGAGTGCGTCGATACTAGCGAGGACGAGGTCGACGACACCAGCTCCGAAGATGAAGCGCTCAGTTCCAAATCATCACCAGAAAAGCCTCGCGGGAGGCAAAAGTCGACAGACCCTGTTTCCTCTCCGACACAGGGCGATTGGAGTGGGAAAAAAGGGCCTCCTCCCCCGCCAACAAGTCCATCCCGAGCGGGTCCACTGAGTCTCCTCGCAGAATTGGAGGAAGAGCGTAGGTGCAGCTTCCCCTTGCTTCGTCTTCTCAAATGACTGACATATAGGGGTACAGGAGAGCTGTTAGCTCCCCCGCGTCGAAGGGGATCCGTTCTCACGCCAGCTAAGGACAAGCCTAACTGGAGACGGAAGGGAGTTCATCCGAACACGAGTTTCGACCACACTGCATCCATGGTCAACACACCAGTTGGATCAGACGATGAGGCGGACCTTTCAGACATCAGGCAGGCCCAAAACCTGAGCATCTACATGTCATCCGTCGACAACTCCATTCCGGACCGGGCGATTCGAACCATCATCCGGGGCGATTTTCCTCGCTTCCAGCGAGAAGCCGCCGAGGGTCTCCGTCGACAGCGCAAATACCTGGTGGCAACGGATCTTAGCGATGAATCGGTGTACGCTCTGGAATGGACGATCGGTACCATCCTTCGAGACGGTGACACATTGTTTGCCGTGTATGCCATCGCGGACGAAAGCGCGGGTGGAGTTGATATCAACTCAGTACAGATTGGAGAAGGGGCGAAAGTGATGCAGGATACCGCTGACGTGGTCGGAAAACAAACCGAGAAGACCGCTCTGAGATTTCAGGCGAACGCTGCAAGTTTGATCCCGCACGCGTTGGCGTCGTATTTTGGCTCGGACAGCCGGTCGAACTCCCGGAATAACTCGGTCGACGCGCGGGCGTTGTCGAGAGCAGAGGCGGAACGGGCCCGAGCCATCGAAGGAATCTCGCAGACTTGCGTCCGGCTGCTGAGGAAGACGATGCTGCAGGTCCGCGTTGCGGTGGAGGTCATCCACTGCAAGAGTCCGAAGCATCTGTTAACCGAAGCGGTAAGTTGTTTCCAATGGGTCTGCCAGAGGTTCTTGGGCTGATATCTGGTCTAGATTGATGGACTCGAGCCGACGCTGGTGATTCTTGGATCCCGTGGTCGAAGTGCCTTGAAGGGTGAGCTCATTATCCAAACCTTTTTTTTTCCCCATCTTGTCATTCCTTCTGACACCATGCAGTGTGCTGTTAGGATCCTTCTCCAATTACATAGTGACCAAGTCCTCTGTACCGGTGATGGTGGCGCGTAAGAAGCTGAAGAAACATATCAAGAAGACCCGAGTGCGGCTTTCCAACAATCTCACGACTCCAAAAAGCCTGGCCATGGCGAAAATCGACTGATCTGCGCGTTTGCGCTTTCCCTGTGATTATGTTCTCTACGTGACTTATCCACTAACGATTTTCTTTTTCTCTGCAAGCAATTGGTTCCCCGGAGAAAGTGCTGGGATCTGTCTTTGGCGGTTTATTCGTCTCGCGTCATGCATTTAAAGGCCGGTTGGTGGGATGGATGATATGCATATTAGTTTTTATTGATTATTCGTAATGAAATGGGGTATGGCGTTTAGAGGTTGAGCTATGACTTGGTTACACCAGTGTTGAGATCGAAGTACTCCAGATTCAAGTATCAATGGCATTATTGTTCAAACTGACTGTTAGCACAGGTCTGCTATCTATCTCTATCCAAATCCCATTGAGCCTTTTTATCCGTGGATATACACAGCAGACAGCAGCTGTTAGACCCACTGTACCAATAGATTTATTTGCAAAACGTGAATAACTGTCATACCTCGTAGAAAGACAGGCGAGTACACAATCAAACTATGCATTGGGACTGGACTAATGTAACATGCTGAGGTATCTACCTAAGATAATGCACATCCCAACTCCTTTGTTCCGTTATCCCAGACTCCCTTTGTTTGTTCTCCATAATCCTGCGTGCTATATTACCCAGAATACAACCCTCCAGAAGCTTGCAAGATCATAAAGAAATATCAAATCTCCATGCTGGCTGGCGTAGTAAAAAAAAAAGTACATCCATGGATGTGGATATTGTGAACAGCTAGCTAGGATTTTGTCCGCTTCGACTTGCGTCCGGCGCTCTTACTGTCTTTTTCCTTGTTGGCCGTCTTCCGAGCAGCGACAGCCTCGAAGGCCTCCTCGGGGGGCTCTTCCGGAGGTGCTCGCTTTTTACCCTTCTTGGGCTGCGCGTACTTGGCTTCCAGTTCGTCAAAGAAATTGGCTGCTCGGGCCTTTTGTCGCTGCTGGATCAGCGCCGCCAGTTCATTGTCGTCCGCTTTGGCGGCGGCCTTCTTCTTTCTGCCTTTTGCGCCGGGGCCCTTCTCTTCCTTGTCGAGCTCCTTGGCCAACTCCTCGGCCTCCTTTGCCTCCTCCTGAGCCCGTTTCAGCCTCCGTTGTCGCTTGGCTTCCGGTTCTTCCGTGTAGTTTTTCCAGCCCTTCACCTCGCCATCGGCGATGGCCTTGTTGATGATGGCGCGAAACCGCTCGTCGTCATCCAGCACGTTGCTGAGCATGACCACCTCGTAGACCTTGTCCATGTCCCCCTTGTACTTCTCGAACGCAGCGAGCAGATCGCGCCGCTCCTCGTCCGAGCCCTGGTACTCCTTCTTGATCTTCTCAATCGCGCTGCGGTCCACCATGCTCGAGAACTGCTCCCGGTAGAACTCCATCCAGTTGAAGTCGTCGTCTTCCAGGTCCAGCGTCTCGGACGTGCTCCCCGTCAGGTCGTAGCGTCGCCGTCGTCGCTCGTCCGACAGAATCGCGTACGCGAACGCGATCTCCTGGAATTTCTGGTTCGCCTCATCTTTGGCGTCTGGTGGTGCCTTGTCTGGGGGGGGGGAAACATTAGTATGGTATCCTTCTCCTGGGAGAAGTGCGCACGGTGTGTAGCGGAGTGTAAGGGGGAAATACATACCTGGGTGGTGTTTCAACGCTTTCTTCCGATAGGCAGTTTTGATTTCGTCTGCAGTGGCCTTTTCATCTACCCCCAAGACCTCATAGGGATTAATCGCGGAGGGAGGCTCATCCGCTAGATCCTCGTCTCGTGAAGGCATTGCGCCGGGGGTGAGATTAGATTGGTATTAGTTTGTGAGACAGAAGGAAGACTGGAGTAAAAGATAAAAAGAACTTGACTGCAATTCAGGTCAGAAACAGAGCTCGCCTTTTGTCTTTACTGTTGGTAATTAATGCAGGAGTTGTTGATGTCGTCTTGGGTAAATCGTCGCTCGTCAAGACGCGCCGGGACGCGACTTGGAGTGACAGAAATGGATATGTCATAGCTCCGCGGCTCCACTTCCGCAGATACAGCGTATGGACCATGCCGAAGTAGATATGAAATTGAAGTATTCCGACACATCCAACCGCCAATTGAATAGAGTCAATGAAAGATATCTCTACAAGAAATTAATCCCATCTCCAAGATAATTGAGTTGAGCAGTTCATTAATTAATTGATTGATTGACTGACTGATTGATTGATTATTGATTTCTGAACATGACCACATTCGCAGCTCAATCAGACCCCGCCCCCGCCTCGTCTACCTCTCACCTCGACTACATCCGACAATGCCTTTCGCTAGCCGAGAAATCTCCTCCGCGGCCGTCTAATTTCCGGGTGGGCGCCATGCTGGTCCTACGTCGCGACGAGGCCGGTCCGACCGATGACGACACCGTTCTCTCGACGGGGTACACGCTCGAGCTGCCGGGCAACACGCATGCGGAGCAGTGCTGTCTGTCCAACTACGCCGCCGTCCACGGCGTTCCCGAGGATCGCGTCGGCGAGGTCCTCCCTTCTTCGTCTTCTTCTTCTTCGGACCCGACTCGCAAGGTGATCCTGTACGTCACGATGGAGCCGTGCGGGCAGCGCCTCTCCGGGAACACGCCGTGCGTGCAGCGGATCATCCAGACGCGGCAGGGCGGGAAGTACAGGGGCATCGACAAGGTCTACTTTGGTGTGAAAGAGCCCGGCACCTTTGTCGGAGAGTCGCAGGGGTGTCGGATGCTGACGGAGGCCGGGGTCGAATGGGAACACATTGGTGGGTTGGAGAAGGAGATCTTGGCCGTCGCGACCGCTGGGCATGAGAAGAAGGATGGGGAGAACTCCGGCAATGTTGGGACGAATATTGATGATATCAGTCCTGAGGAGCGACGCAGGCAGGAACAGCTGCCGAGGAATCCGAAGAAGAGGATGATGGAGGGGACTTTCGGATAGTCTTTCGGATAATGTCTTTCAGGTAGATTATTCCTGAGGAGGAAGATAGAGGGTTTGAATTCGATTATTAGCACTGCTACATATTTGCGAACAACCTTGGTTAGAGTTTGTGGTGGTTGTCGACAAATATATATAAATGCACTCCCATGCAGGTTGTGGGAAGCAAGCAGCATCAACCAGCCAGGGACCAAAATACAAAACAACAGTAATTTTCCCAGCCACTCAATGACAGCAATCGTATAACCCCATAGCAACTCGAGTTGTTGATCAGAGAAATCGTATACTGCATACATCTGCCCAAAATGGTGCTGGTGCTGGCGTCACGTGAACCGGCATCACTTTCGCGTCTGCACCAATTAATATTCGTCATCGCCAACACATCACAGCGCGTCAGCCAGACATCCTTCGAAAAGATCAACCAGCAGAACGGACCAGATATCTATCTATCGATCAATCAATCAATTAATCACCTCAAAACCAATATATAAGAGAAAGAGAATAAACAGACGAGAGAAAGGAAAAAAAAGAAAATGAACCAATGGCCACAGGAGACTCAGATAATGCCCACGATACCGGCCTTACGTTTTATCCTGCATTCTGTTTCAAGGCCTCGCCCACGCACTTCGCCTGGGTGAAGATGGCGGCTGTGGATGTGCACAGGTTGCGGACGAGGAAGGGGTTTGAAGGTAACTACCTCCCTATCTACCTACCTAATATCTACCTATCCTGGCTGTTTGTTGTACTTGGATGGAATTCATGATCTGGAAAGATTGGATGGTTTCTACGTGCTTGTGTTCTTTTTCTTTGTTTTCAAATGTTGAATATTCCTCCATACGTTTACTTGGAAGGGAATTGTTTGTGTCTTCTCAGGGGTGCCAAACAAAGAGCAGGTCTTGTATTCTCACATCTACAGGAAAAATGACCTCATTTTCGAAATAGACCTAACCTACTCCATAATTACATCCATTTTTAATCGCAGCTAACCTAAAACTCCAGGTCAAAACCTCTACTTCTACTACAACCACCCTATCCAGTTTGTCTGTCTGGCTGGAATAATCGTCGCCAGGGAGGAGTACCCGCGGCGCACCGTCCTCGTTCTCGACGATAGCAGTGGAGCTACCATCGAGGTTGTTGTTTTAAAGGTGCTCGCCACCAGCGACGAAAATGGTGCTACTGCAACAGCATCAAGCACAGCCACAGCTCCCGAGACAGTCCACGTCGCCTCGACGACGCGATCCCCGCTCGACATCAGCACGCTGACCCCCGGCGCCGTGGCCAAAATCAAGGGGACGCTCTCCTCCTTCCGCTCCACGATGCAGGTCGTCCTGGAGCGGTACGTGATCCTGCCAGACACAAACGCCGAGATCCGGTTCTGGGACGAACGCGCCCGCTACCTCGTCGACGTCCTCTCGGTACCTTGGTCGCTGAGCGCGGACGAGATCGCGCAGCTGCGCCGCGAGGCCGAGGAAGACGAGCAGAAGGCCGTCTGGGACCAGCGGCGTGCGCAGGAGAAGAAAAAGCGCCTCGCGGAAAGGGAGGAGAAGGATCGTCGTCGTATCCAGCGACGATGGGAGCGCGAGGAGAAGCTGCGCGAGAGACAGGCTGCTATGTGCAGAGAGGCAAATCGGAAGTTTCAGGAGATGATGACAATGAAGAGAAAGAAAATGAAAATGTCAACAGCGAAGCAAGCACCTGCACGGGAGAACGAAGGATGAAATGTGAAGATAGCTTTGCTATAACCTAAGGTAATGTACATACTAACTATATTTGTTGTTGTGCAGTACATACAATACAATGACGATGTATATATATACCTGACCTGTATGCACTATAATTATTTTTTTTCAGTGGAAATGAAAATGAATACCATGAAACTTTTCAATTATGCCTTGTTTTTTTTTTAATTTTAATGGACTCGTACTCGACTCCGCCTGGGTTACCTAGGTAGGCATTTACAAAAATAACAATAAATACCTGTTTATTATCCTTCCTCACTTGCTCAAAGTAAATCGGCAGAAAAATACAGGAATATTGTCACATATCTAACACACAAGTGCTAACGAAAGCGCAAGACTAAGTAAGACATTAGGTACTTCATTACTCAGAGTACATGCTCGAATAAGAATGAGGAAAAAAAAAAGTTACATCAATGCAGGACAGCGAGGTGAAGGGAATAGAATAAACTTCCAGAAAGAATGATACAGGGGTCATAGGCATGAGTTTGGAGACATAAATTATTCCCGACTGTCTGTTGTACTCACCAATCAGTCACCGATATCCAGACCTTGTCTTCCCTCCACTGCCACCCTGGCCGCCCAGCAACCCACGATAGTAATCTTCATCACTCCAGGTCGCGTCGCTGCCCAGATCGTGATATCGCCGTTCCCGCTCCCGCTCCCGCTCACGGAGTGCATCATCACGGTCGTAATCTCTGTACCGACGACTGTCGTCAATTACGTCTTCTGCAGAGCTCAAGCCTCCATAACCACGGCTGCTGCCGTACCCAAGAAGGTCACTCTCAGAATGTCGGTAGTCGCCCTGTCCGCTGACGCCAAAGGAAGAGCTGCGCGTTCGTCCGCGCTTTGTCGATGACGCTCGAAGATAAGAAGGTTCCTGACCGTAGGAGTGTGATGCTCGGTGGCCAGGTGCGGATGTGGGAGTAGAAAGGAACTCTTTCTTTCTGGCACCGGCTGATCCAGTCTCCACATGCAAAGGTCGATCATCGTCGTACACTTTCCCTCCCCCGGGTTGCGCGGTATACGGCTTCCTTTCACGCTCTATGGGAGCAGTTGGAGCCGGTTCATCATCCTCATCCACCACTGCAGAGCTCGAGGTGGAACGAGTTCGGTGAACACGATCACCACTTGAGGAAAACTGGTCTGTCGAAGCAGCTGCTGCAGGGTTTCGACGAAGAGGAGTCTTTGGTCGCTCTTCTGCGGTAATGGAAGGAAAATTAACACGACAGATTTCCCTAATGGAACGCTCCAGCTTCTCTCTCAATGCAGAGTCTGGGGAACTGGGGAAAAGTCTCCTCGGAATCTCCTTCGGGAATCGCTCCTTGCTATCGGGGTTGCTTATGGGCATGTGCAAAACGGCCTTTTTAAGGCGGGCAAATTCCCTGTCTGGATGAGCTTGGATCAGCAACGTGGCCCACCGTGCAAAACCACGAGGAGTCAGTCCGGGGATGTCTGGTTGTTCGTGAAGCTTCTCCTGGACGAGATGATGCTCCACTTCGAACTCTCGGTACAATCTCGAGATATTGGAAGAATGGTTGAAGATATCTAGCCAGAATGCCTTAGTGATAAAGATCCCAGGACGCAAAATATAAATACGAATGGGATACGAATGATAGGCCTGGTACGCACCATGCCATGGATAGGTATCTTCCGGCACTTTGGTGTCTTCGTAGAACTTTCGCAATTTCTCTGGAACGATCACGATAGTGTCTCCAGGCGGATACTCTTGGATCTGAAGAGGGGAGTCCGAATTAAGCTAGTTCAGATCTTTCTCAAAGTCCAGCACCTACCAGATAGACTGCAATTCCACGTAAGAACTGGCCCAGCTTCTCAGTCGGCTTGCCGTCTTCAAACAGCTTCCCCCAAATCCTCTCCAGTGTTGTCATATCACCCCACGTAGGAACTCGCGTGGGAGCTTTCGGGCGAAATTCCTTTTGGCCATGATCACTATACTGATTTGACGGAGATTTTCCTCTTTCTGGCGCGGGTGCAGCAGCAGGTCTTGGGCTGGTGAAGGAAGCTTGACCAGTTCGGTTCTGCAACTGTGACGAGTCACATTCATGACTCTCGTTAGAGGGAGGTGTATAAATGCTCCGTCCCGTTCCTGAGGCCGAGGATTCAGTGTAGCTTGGTGCTTGTGGAGGTGGAGCAGTTTGCTGCTGCTGCTGCTGCTGCTGCTGCTGCGGTCCCTGTAAATTGTCCAGACCGTACGCCTTGAGCTGCTGGATAACGATCGCGGTGATGTGCGAAATAAGTTCAGGCGTAAGGAAGCCTAAATTCTCAGCCTTGTTGGTCGCGGAGGACGCGGCATAGTTAACATGCCCTTGTGTATTCGGGTTCGAGGAAGGCGGGGGATAGAGCTGAGACGACGCCATGCGGGGTTGAGGCATCTGGATTTGATCTGAAGCATAGTGCGATGGATAAGGTGGGATATAGGAAACAGAAGAAGGCGATCTTGGTTCAGCGAACTCGTCCTGCGAAGCCGGTGGCCCATACGAGCTGGGGCTTCCGCGATAGCCGTCATATGCCATGTATGGAGTTTCCAGTTCGATCGGACGAGAAGACCGTAATCAACGCGTCACAGCCAGTTGAGAGTTGATTGCAAGAACGCAGAAATATCATACAATCCGCAAAGAAGCAGAAGATGAAGTCTGACGGCGGATAAAGTCTAAAGACAAAGACAAGGCTGTCTGACGCTGATAAATAAATGCGCCGGACAGCTGACCTTACAGGCGCCAGGCAGAAGGGAGCGACCGTCAGGATCTCGGAAGACTCAACGTGTGACAAAAGTCACCATTAACCATTAAACTGGGCCTGCATAAAGCAAACATGCAGCGAAAGGGGCGCAGACCACAGTTTTACTAGGTGTAGGATGGCGAAAGCTAGAAACATGAGAAATTGAAGCTGGCGGGGGCCCCCATAGGCTGCTGCGCATCATAGCCCTACATCATTTTTTCCCCCTCTGCTGATCGCAGCGCATCCAGTCGGGAACCGCGCTGACCTGCTGTGGCAGTGACAGGAAGACTTGTCGACTTGACTTAGTTCCTGCATGATCGATCAATATGGCTACCTAAGTAGGTAAGTTGGAAGCATTACCCCTTCCAGTGTTGATAGGGTAAAACAGAGTCCCATGGCTCAAATACTCCAATACCCGCAGTTGTCCCACAGTTCAAACTAGCTTGACAGCAAGCCTTCCACACAATGATATCATCGTTTGTGTTGCCCTAGTTTTTTTTTTTAGTTACGCATTTTTATTCTTTTCCCTTTTTGGACCGGTTTATTCTGTCATTATTAACCTATGATAGGACGGATCGCGAACATACTAGTGAATGGAGAGCCTTCGTTGGGCAGTAGATACTTGGGGTCTGTAGGCTGTGGGCAAGCTACCTACACAACAGCGTAATTGAGGACAGGGCAAGAGCTGTTGTTGACAATTATTCTTGAGTAGACGATCCGTGAGTTGAAAGCAATGACTGCCTGTTTTCTCAGGCGAGGGAATAAGAGATAAGACTGCGTACTTAACGTGATTCATAGTCATGCACTTGATACATAACTTTGCATTCTGATCTGTAGATTTGCAACCTGTCTGGATTTCGAAAGCTTGCCCATGTCAACAAACCAGTTCAAATTTTTGTTCATCTGTTGAATAACCAATTTTTTTCTTTTTTCTTTTCTTTTTTTGTTTAAAAAATGGACAAAAAGAAAAAAAAAAGGAAACGACTTTTAAAGGGCTGAAGTGCTTTGTGAAAAAAGAAACTGATAAGAACGGTTTGATCAGTGTCACGCCGACGAGGCTCTATCCTTGGGCAGTTCGTATTGGAATCAGGCCATGTAAGCGCTGATGAACAAACACGCTCTTGCCAGTGCCAATGCGGTCATTCCAAAGTATGAGATAGGCCAGGCCAACAGAGTCTATACTCTGGCTGCCGCACTCACAGGTAGTCCGAAATGTCATGGGGCACTCCATCGTCCTCTTCCTCGTCCGACGCCGCGAGGCATCGACCGGAAGATTCGGGAATGCGCATTGTCGGAGCTGTACCTTTTGGAAATCGAGGGCCCTGTATTGCGTAAGACAAAGATGATTTTGCAGGACAAATGGCGTAGCTTACCTCTACTTTTGCCCATCTACCAGATCTCTTCTTGCGCACTCTTCTGGGAACTGGTTCCTCATTGGCATTGATTCCCCAAGATTCCCATCCAGTGCGGACCGACTCGGAATCCCCTCCTTCGGAAGTCATGCGTTGGTGACCGATGCCCTGGGGGTCGAAGGCAGTAAAGACGTGGGATTTTGTCTTTCCTGCCTCAGATTTTTCATCCCCACGACTAGATTCCACCCACACACCGCCCCCAACAGAATCGTCATCGTCATCTTCGTCGTCATTGCCGAGAGCAGAGACAGTGCGTGCAGTACCTCGGGAAGTCGTGTCGAAGTCCTCATCAAAACCAGGCTCACCGACGGACCTGGGAACGCTTTCGTCGTCGTCATACTGGCTCTGATCACACTAATGAGTATCTACGATCTGGTTTAGTTCCTTCGTGACTTACCTTAACGGCGTTGGACTCGTAGTGCGCAGTTGAATCCGTATCTGCAATGCCACAGTTTTCGTCCCACGGTTCTACCTCGAGATGATCTTGAACGCAGTTTGAGCACCTCTGCATGATTTGGCCATCAGCGACAAATATCTATCTTGTTAGTACAACCAGGAAGCGTACCGCCTTATCAGGGTCATGACGTTGGTTTTTGGCGAATTCGTCGATTGCTTTGGTCTTGTCACAGATGATGCACGTCAATTCCACGGTGGGACCGCCAACACAGTCTCTACAGCGGACAGGTGCTCTCCCCGACTCGACGAATTCGTATCCTTTGCGTGCTATTGCGTTACGGACACGATTGAGTTGGGCGTTGGAAAAGGCGTCCTGGCGGCGATACCTGTTGCAAGTTGCGCATTTAATCCTAGTAGAAATCAGTGCAGGTACTGAGGCGCGACAAAGTCATCTCACTTGTCAGGAACACGAGCACTTTTGATCCTTGCCAAAGTAATGTCAGTGTCTGCTCTAGTTTTCGAAGCTTTGGGGGAAAAGACTACTCACTTCTTCACCGTTGCCTCAGAATATCCCCCGCCTGGGCCTTTTGGAGGTGCCATGATGTCGAAATGGTAGAATGAGGAGCCTGCAGATGAAGATTGCTTAGTATTGGACGATGACAAGGGATGGATATGAAGAGGAAGCGGACTAGGTAGGTGCGATAGAGATGGATCTGTATGAAGTGAATCCTTCCTGATATTATCCTGGAGGAGACAGGGACAAGGAGAAGAACTCAGAATGACGATGTCTTGGCCAGATAGACACGGCCAGATTGAGAGGATCCTTCAGTTCAGGCAGATGAAGATGGGAAGGGACTAGGATTGTATCTGACCTTGGAGATGGAAAGACTATCTTAGGCTGTGGGACTAGATGGATGATATGGTAGAGGAGAGCTGGGAGATGAGATGAGAAGACCAAAACAAAAACACAGAGAAATGAGTGCGTGTAGTCTCAGAAGGAAATAGACAGAACGTTCTGGTGAATCGTGGAAGAGGTAAGAAGAGCCTTTGTCAGGTCACCTGAGAAGGTGGCTTCACAGAGAGACGCTTCACAGAGAGACACGCTCTTTACTCGTCAGATAAACACCAATCCTCGAGCTGAATTCTTTGACCTGAAAGAATCCGGCAAACTCCTGCTAGGCATGAAGCTCGCCGGATTCCTTCAATATTAACAGATGCAGAGGGACAAACAAGAGGTGTGGTTTCCCTATGATCATTTCCATTACTTTGCAAACAGAAAAAAGAACGCAGCAAACAACAGAACATCATCAATCGGATAACTGCATTTCATTAAACTGGTCTCATCAACATAATTCAGTCTTGCGGGGCAGGTTTTGGCCATGAACAGTGAGTGCATGCTTCATAAGTAACAATTGTAAAGAGCATCTCCAAGCAGAATGCGCTCAAGCATAGAAATGTAAACTGCTGCCATTCATCCTCTTGTCAACTTCTGGCCTGAATTTCTTTTATTTTTTTCTCATCCAAAGAAAGAAAGAAAAAAAAACTCTGTATATAAGAACTATATAAGAACGTGACTTGCCACAAGGCACTTGTGTGTAGAGAGCCAATCTGTAAGCAAAGATTGAGGGTATTCATGACTTCACTCGTATCAAGAGCAATGCCGATCCTTAGTCAAGACAACAACAACAACAACATCATCATCATTATCGATTTCGTTTATGGAAGTACTCTGGAGTATTCATTTTCCAATGAGATTGCTGTCGCTATCATGAGTTCCACAAAAGAGGAAATAAGCAACCATTGTTGAAGAATTTCCGCGGAATATAGGAAGTACTCCGTACCGAGGAGCGTCGATTCTCAGACCGCCAATGCTGCACAAATTACGGTGTACGGAGGACTGTCGTCCATACGTAAGAGGGATTTCTTGCCCCAAAATTGTGTACAGAATGCATGGAGCATGTACTCCGTACAGTCTACGGAGTGTGTACATACAGCATATGTGCAGTATATGAACCACAGCAGGTACTCTGTACCTCATAATTCTTTCTACGATCCTTTCTTTTCTGTGAAGAGGACTCTGAATTTCAATCTCACGTACCCTTTCTGAGGTTAGGGATCCTCAGCCTCCGGTGCTGGTCGACTCCCGGGAAGCAGGAAGCTCAGCAGAGCTTGCAGCAGTGGTGGAGAATCCCGCGTCCCCGAGGGCGGACCAGCAGACCGGCAACTGGTGGCCAGCCCAATGATGTCTTCCCGGCGGGACGGATCCGACCCGAACCAGGCATGCGCCAATAGCATTAGCCAGGAACAGAGCCGGCCGGTGCCGCGGATGGACGAGAGCCGTCTTGGTTGAGCGCCATTATTAATTATTATTCCTGAATCCTGAGGCCTCTGACGATGCCCAAGTCCACCAAATCCAGAGCTAGGCACCACGGCTCGGCCCATGGGCCAGCGGAAGGTCGGAGAAAAAGTCCAGGGCGAGGGATCCCAGGTCCGTGGGGGGATTCCCCTCGTTCAACGGCTCTCCTGATCTCCCGGGAGGTACCAGAGATCAAGGAGGGGTCGGGTACCAAGATCCCAAGATGCCACAATGAGCAGTCACAGATAACAAACCTACGTTCTGATTTTCCATGGACACATCACACCTGCATCTATTTCTTGTACTTTCTGTCTTTAAGCATCCAGATTGGTGGGAAAAGAAAAAAAGAAATCATGAAATGAGCTCTTTCTGTCTCTAATTGATTAGTCATTCATTGCAGGTAACGTAATCCACCACCGAGCTGGTCACACCACCGAGCTGGTCAGTCCTTGGCCAAGAGTTGCAGCCCAACGTGACCGAAAATCTTGAAGATTATTGCAACAAAATCTATTATATTTTCCTATATAAAAGAAAAGGCACTATTTATTAGGACATTTAAGCCGATTATGGCCTTCTTGATTGCAATTACTGCACCTTGGTGGTCTCCGTGGTCGTCGAGATGATTCCTGCAGTTGCTCATGCTCTTGAGCTTTTTGCTGCCCTTCAGCACCTGTCAAGCTTCCTCCTGCTTGAATAAAATATCTAGATGCTTGTCGCTTTCTTTTTTGGCGTTGGTTTTCTGTGCAAAGCTGATGAATCTCTTGCTGCAATAGGATAGCATTCTGCATGGTAATCTCTGCACATTTAATCACCTTATCCACTGCCTGTTCTATAGTAGAAGGAGATAATGATTGAAGACTTCGGAGATGTTGAATTCGCTTCTTTTGC